CCTATGCTGGGATCACTGATGCTCAGCATATAGAGGGAGAGAGATACTGTCTTTCACTAAGTACCCACTAGGGGGATGCTGGCAATTTGGGTCAGTTGGGCCTCAGACTCCTAGAAAAGAGTGTTCACATGCCAGCAGAGGGGGTCTGGATTAGACAATCTCCAGTTGCCAGGCCTCTGGATGATGTGCTTGAGTCCTGAGGTGACCAGACCAAGATTGGGCTGGCAAACTTGCCCTCAAGCCTGAGTTCAGGTGCTGTCGGCGACAGGGAGTGGTGGGATGACCTTTTGGTCCAGAAGAATGCTCACATAGGTAAAGAATAGATGTACAGTGAGCCTGTATAGGAGGGGATAGATCCTTCAGGACAAGATCAACAAAGGAAGGCAGCTTGTGGGGCGCACAAACTGTTCACACCTCCTTCTCTCAGCAGTGGCAACAGTTTCTGTCCTTCAGGGGTTAGAAAAGTGCCAGATTCCCAGCTCCCACCCTGGTCCCGATGCAACAGAGGTGACGGAGGCAGCTCAGCCTGTTGTGTGCAGGGCTACTAGAATGGCTGTCCCTGAAATGCTCCAGTAGGGGAGTTGTGGTTGTGCTGAAACTTTGCCTCCAGGGAGGGTAGGCTCCTACCAGAAGAGAGAGGTGACTATGGGGAAAACACTGCTAGCTGCCCTGCCTAAGGGGAGACAGTAGTTTTTAACCCTGGGACACATGAAGTGCTTACTGTGGCTTTTTAAAGGGAAAAGAGTGAGCCTCAAACTCCGTGGGAAGCCTGGGTGTGATAGGTGCTCTGTAAGAGGCAGAACAGTTGCTCCTAAGTGCTCTGGGTTAATCATGCCCCGTGGAACCCTCACTGGTCCCAAGTAGAAACAGCAGTAAGGAAGGGGGAAGAGGAGGAGATTCTAGTTGGCAGGGAGCTGGCATCCTCGTCCCCTTTGTCCTAAGGGGCCCTCTGGCATGCTAAACTCTCCTCTTAGCTGGAAGAAGTTTGCCCTGAATGTCCATGCTCCAGGAGACTCACACTTCCCTAGGACCCACTGGTTCCTGTTTCACTGTGGGTGGGTGCTAGGGAACACTGATTGTGGATCCAGTGATGAAAAGACCCAGGGTCTGAGATTCCCCAGTTGGAACAGTTGCAAAAACACTGCCTATGAAGGGAGGGAAATAAGCCACATCTCCTGGATAACCTGGGCATGGTGAGGAGAGTACTACTGGGATGTACCACTTTTGCAAGTGTAGAAATGGCCATCCTGCAGCACATCCACATCAAAGCTTGGGAGCAGAGGCAATTATGTATGAGGCATTGTATGGCTGGAGGAGAGAAGATCCTCATCTCCACATCCCTTCCCAGGCTCCAGTGCGACTTCTGCTTTGGGGTGAGAACATGTCCTACCCTACAGACTCCACTCTGCACCTGTCTCTCCAGTGTCTCCAAATCACAAGCCAGGGGCTCTCAGGTATATATGAGTGTGCATTCTGTCATCCTCTGTCCTAAAAGGCCTTCACGGTACTTCCCAGTCCTCTTGGGGCAGCCATCCCAAGGGTCACAACTCTGGGAATACTGCTGAGTTCTGTCAGCTGTCACAGTACAAGCGGATGCTGGGAAATATTCATATGGGATCTAGTGACAAGTAAACTGAGGAGCTGTGACTTTCCAGGCAGGACAGAGGCACCCAGCATGTGCACAAGCAATACAGTGCCCACCATCTCAGCTTGACTATTTTGGGGCCCACGAGTGAGTGCTGTAATCTCACTTTATTGATGACACTAGTGCCTGTATTCATGAGGGTACAAGAGTTCTCTGACAGATCAGGAGCTGGTAAACTGCCACAAGTGTGAGGGGAGGAGCAGTAAACACTTTACCTACCCTTTCTACTGGACTCTGAATCCTTCAGGGGTTGTATTCTGTCAAAATCTTATTCTTATTTTGTAACTTTTCCCCATGGGATCTCCAATAAGGGTAAATTCTGGCACCTTTCCCTCAGTGTGAAGTGTGGATTGGGAGGTGGCAAGACCCCTGCAGCCTGAAAGGTACATTCAAGGAACAGCCCCATGTGCTTCTCCTCCCTTCCTAAAACAATAGTCCTTTCTCCTTGTTCCCTCTGCCAGAAGTCACATAGCTTCTGTATATTTTCTTATCTTTTGCCTAAAAGCACATAGCCTTCTTCTCTAAAGTTAATTTTTACCCCATGTACTATTACTTCCCCTCAACCTTGCCAAGATAAAAATACTCGCACTCTCTTTCTTTGCTGATTCGCAACATTGTTAATATAAGTAGCCTTGTTTAGGCACTATATAAATAAAGCTGTTCACAGGGTTAGGTGCTGGCTGCAGTCATCAGCTGCACCAGATCTCCCCATCCCATCTCTTTACCTTTTATGCAATTTATGTCTTTTGTGTGATTCATTTTCTCAATTCCCTGCCATTCTTCCTCTGGTTCATTTACTCTTCATGCTGGTTTGTGAAACCTCAGTATTCAACCTGGGCTATGCTTCCCACCTTCAACTTTTATCTTCTTTTTGGGACAATCTGGTGACTGATGTCACTAGCCATTCAGCTTCTTACTCTCAGATACATAATTCTTGGTTGATAGTTTATTTTCTTTTCCCAACATTTTGAATATGCCATTTCTTTTCTCTTTCTTTGCTTATAGTCTCTTAATTCCTATTTTTCCCATGAATGTAACATAATGCCTTTTTCCCATATAATAGGAAAAAAAATTTAATTAAATTTTTTTTGTTGTTGAAAACTGGGCATTTAAATAATGTGACAACTCTGGAAATCAGATTTTACTCCCATCCCAGGGTTTGATAATTGTCCATTATAAAGGAATTCTTTTAAGAATGTTACTGGGCCTAATAAGTAAATATCTAACATCTCTTTCTTTCAGAGGTTGTTTCCTTTGCCATGTTTTTGTTGTTGTTTGTTTGTTTAAGGATCTTATGAATTCTGGTGTTTACTCATTCTCAAATGAGGAACAATCTCTTTGGCCCAAATATTTGCTAACAATGGAGTATGATTTGCTCTTGGCCCCAAACTTGAACGAGATCCTCTCCTATCTGCGGATGTACAATATACTGACATACAATATGTTGATAAACAAAAGAATTAGAACAATCCTTAGGCTTTCACTTAGTCTGCTGGTTGGAGAAAGTACTGTTTTCTATTTCTAATTTCCTCACAGTCAGCACAGATGGAGAACAGAAAAACTATAACTTGAAGTGTGTACAGCTAATAGATCTTTTTGTCTTACTGATACATTCAGTACTTTATCAACAAGGCCAATACTTCTCCAGATAAATGCACTACCTGAGTAATTTTCTCATTAGCCACCACTATGCGATCTTTCTCTAAGATAATGTTTCCAACTAGATGTCAGAGATAGGGATACAATGGATGGTGGGACACTGGAGACCTCAAAAAGTACTGAGACATCTGTCCATATTTCTGCCTACACATTTCAGTCTTCTGAACTACAAGTAAGTGTGATCAAAAGCTATCCTACCTAAAATCTAGCTTGCTTTCTTGCTGTAGCCATTAAGTTAGTTCTTAAAATTATAGCCTAGTAGGGAATGGAAATTTTATTTCTGGTTATAGATTTAACAACTAATCCAAACATTAGGTAAGCATTTTTGTGGTTCTTTTTTTTTAATCAGGGCTATCATAGTCAGAAATTAGAAGTTATATCAGATGCTTTAACACTACTACCATTAGAAATTAGTTTTCATATAAAAATAACCAAAAAATCAGCTTAATACCAGGGATAACTTCTCTACTCTTTGAAATTTCTACACATATGAAGATGCTTATGAACAATTATGAAGAAAATAATTTGTCTAAAGTGAGCCAAGTCATCTCCTGTGGATCACTCAAAATACTATCCCCTCAATCAAAACCCCACACCATACCACAGGAAATACATATTTATTTAGCTTTTCCATGGGAAAAGTTTATTTCCTAACTCTGCAGATCCATTTTAGTGAACAACAAGGATGCTATAGGATATTCTAAAATTCTAGGGAGAAAACAGTGACATCTGACTACTCAAGCTCAAGGTATTTCTAAGTGTCAAAAGCATAAACTACTAGTTCAAAGAAGTTCAAAATGTTGACACCAGATTGCACTATGTTCTTTCAATGCTAATAAGTCTTTGTAAAGGTAGATTTTTGGCAATTGCTATAATAAAAAGCAGGGATAGAGTGGCTGTGTCCAATCTCAGCTCAAGGTCTATACAGTGCCTAATAGTTGCACAAATCTTTTTAGTAAATAACTGTGGTTACTTATGAACAAAATAAAATAATGTTTGCAAAAACCAAAACCAAGGCTCGGCGCCTATAGCTCAGCCGGCTAAGGCGCCAGCCACGTACACCTAAGGTGGCGGGTTCGAATCCCCAGCCCGGACCCGCCAAACAACAATGACGGCTGCAACCAAAAAACAGCCAGGCGTTGTGGCGGGCGCCTGTGGTCCCAGCTACTTGGGAGGCGGAGGCAGGAGACTCGCTTGAGCCCAGGAGTTGGAGGCTGCTGTGAGCTGCAATGCCACGGCACTCTGCCCAGGGGGACAGCTTGAGGCTCTGTCTCAAAAAAAAAAAACCAAAACCAAAAAGAAGTAACTTTTATTAAGTTGTTAGATCAAAACAATAAGTATTGATATCCTTAGTTTGCTGTTAGAAAAAATAATTATCATATTATACATAATATATAACAAACACAATACAACAAAATAATCACTGAAACACTAAGGCTACTATGAACCAAGAAAACTTGGAAACCTTTTCCACTAATGCAAAATTGTTCATATAATTTTCATCATTGAATATTTATTAAATGCTTGTATGATATGTATATGATCAAAGAACTCACCTATGTGAACCAGAAATCAAGGCATAAAATGCTCCATATTTCACTGAAAAATTTAAGAACACTGAACTTTCATTTGTCATACCAGAATTAATAAGATAACATGCAAATAATATTTCAAAAAAGGAGTTTCTGCATAATACCTGAATGTGAACTCTCCAAGGTGGTGTCTGATTTGGAATCCAGAGATGCAGGAATCTGTCCTAATTGTGGAACATAGTACATCTTTGTACTACCGGAAGGCTTATATGGCAATAACGAAGGCTGGCCTAAAAAGGTAAAAATCAGAATGATGAATAAGAAAACCTGTATTATTTACTGAGCTAATATTGAGTGACTCCTATGTGCCAGAGAGTGTTCAAGATTCCCGGAATATATAAGTGAACTAAGTAGAAATGTATCTCTGCCTTGAAAAAGAATAATTCCAGAGGAAGAAATATGCAGTAAATAATTTACATATTAAATGAGTAGATTAGCTAGTATTTCAATAAATTAGAAGTGACATGGGAAAAAACAATAAGAAATGCTAAGGAAGGTCAGAAATATAGTGGAAATTAGGGTTTAAATGCAGGGAAAATAATAGTTTAAATAGGATGCCAGAAGTAGGTTTCACTGAGAAGATGAATTTTTAGCAATCTATTCCATATACAGATGCCTCTAACTAAAAAAACATTTTCTTATATATTAAACCTAAACCTCATTGTTAACCCCTACTACTGGTCTTATTCTGCTCTCAGAGTCATAAAAAATAAGTCTTAATTCTCTTTAAATGACAGAGCTTCAAAAACAACATTTCCATTGCAAGAGCATAAATTCTCAATATTAACTAAATATATAATAGTAAAAAGCACAACGTCCTACCACTCAAAGATAACTATTATTAACATTTTAATGTATATCCTACCCAGCTTTTCCCTGTTTCTTATTTGTCTACAAAGTTACATGAATATAGTATATATAATTCTAAACCAAGCTTTTCTATTTTAAATTTATAATAAAAATATTTGTTTTCTTATTCTTCACATTTTTATCATAAAGTTGTAAATTTAGGATGATTTAAATTAAGTTGTAAAGAATTCTGTTAATAAAGATTCTCCTGCCACCACCCATCTTGGGTAAATTTTCTAATTACAGAGTGAGAATTTATACCATTTATGAAGTTAAAAAAACTGTATTTTTTCCTAATAGGTGTGTGCCAATTTACTCTTCCTCCAACACATGCATAGTTAGTAAGAATTCTTACTAATAGGGGCAAATAGAATCTTGTTTAAATTTGTCCTTAAATGACTATTGCAGAGGTTGAACTTTTCCCTATATACTTGTTTTTCTTTCAATGTATGGTAGAAACTGTCTAATGTCCCCTCGTACCCATCCTTGCTCTTTCTTACACATACTGTATTTTCCAATCTCTCTTACAGCCACGTAAGGACATATGAATAAGTTTGGCCTCTAGGACAAACATGAGAATGCCCCACCTCCTAGTACTACACACCATGATGACTACAACAGTTACTCAGGATCCAGAGGTTGAAGTCACACTGTAGGACGCCGGAGAACCAGACATAGAGTACGCTACCTGGTCTAGCCTATCCACCTACAGTTTAGAGTTTCTGTGATAAAATAGTTTATTCTGTATCCTAAGAAACACTTGGTGAGCAATCAGTCAGTTAATTTTAAATCCACTGGAGCTGCCACTTATTGCCTAGGTAATCATGACTTTTGGTGGGGGGGGGCCTATTTCCTACAAATGGGCTTGATAATACCTACCTCTTAGGGTTACTGTGACAATTTGATGAATTAAAAAATATAAAGTGCACCAAAGAGTAATTCTAATAGGTTTAGAAAGAAGTACTTAGTTCTTCCAAAGCCCTTCTCCCTGAATAAGTGTAACAAATTTATCTTAATAACATATTAGGTAATCCCTATTTTTCTCCATCGTGAAAAACAAGAATTACTCTGTTCTCCCCCTTACAATGTTGTTTTCTTCATTGTTCTTCCTGATGAACTTTTTTTTTTTTTTTTTTTTTTGAGACAGAGCCTCAAGCTGTCCCCCTGGGTAGAGTGCCGTGGCATTACAGCTCACAGCAACCTCCAACTCCTGGGCTCAAGCGAGTCTCCTGCCTCCACCTCCCAAGTAGCTGGGACCACAGGCGCCCGCCACAACGCCCAGCCATTTTTTGGTTGCAGCCATCATTGTTGTTTGGTGGGCCCAGGGTGGGGATTCGAACCCACCACCTTAGGTGTATGTGGCTGGCGCCTTAGCCACTTGAGCCACAGGCGCCGAGCCCTTCCTGATGAACTTTAAGATCAATTTAGTAAGTTCAAAATAACAATTCCATTAAAATTATGGGCAAAATTATGTTATAGTATATGTTTATTTGGGAATAAATGACACCTTTACAATATTTAGCCTTCATATCCAGAAATATGCCCTTCTCTTAATTTAGTCAACTATTCTTTTCTATCTCTACACACAGGATGAGTGCTTTTTGTATATAGGGCATTTAAAATTATTGTTTAGGTTATTTCTGAATATTTTATGTGGTTGTATTGCTCATATGAATAGTATTTTGCAGATAACTACCATTTCTCCTGGCTAAATGCCTCCAGGTCTTTCAATTTATCCTCATCTTTGTAGACCATAGTTTTGTCTAATATTGTCATAACTTGTAGATAGATTACTAGTCCATGTTTAGTTTATAAAAATCAAATCTTCTAGATAGATTCTGATAGTCCTGGAGTAGAATGAGGTCTCTTTTATTGTGGACACAATAATAATCTTTATTTAGAACTTTGTCAACATCCTAGAAAGCTCCATCATTCTAATTACTTATTTTGGCAATGAATTCCATAGTTAGATCCCTGCTTCCAACAAGGAACTCACTTCACAGTGAAGGGAATAAGACAAAGGCTGATGCCTAAAGCTATTTACTGTTTTTATCACATGCCTTATCAACAACAATCATGCCAAATCTAAAAAAAAAAAGTGAGTGAGGTATTTACTGATAACTATTATGGAACAAGCTGGATGACACCACTTTCTGGGGTTAGAATGCTATGTAACAAGGACAAGATATGTTCTGAAACAGATATAATACTTGCCTATACCAAGTATCAGAAAGAATACATGCATTCAGGAACAAAAGCAGAAGCAGTATTTAGACCTGTTTGCTTTCAATCTCTGTGACTGTAAGTTTTACTATTTAGAAGATCTTAGAAATAAGAAAGGAATACTTCTACCAGGGACAGGAGCCATTTTACATTTTTTATATCACTAAAGCAAAACATGAAGTAGCATACAGAGTGTGGACTAAATCTGTAATGACCTGACCTATCCTTAAAAAAAGAAAGTCATCAGGAATACAATGTAACACCAAGGAGACTTATGATAGAAATTATCAAAAAATTACCTACATTCTGGCTCGGTGCCTGTGGCTCAAGTGGCTAAGGCGCCAGCCACATACACCTAAGGTGGTGGGTTCGAATCCAGCCCAGGCCCACCAAGCAACAATGACGGCTGCAACCAAAAAATGGCCAGGCATTGTGGCGAGCGCCTGTGGTCCCAGCTACTTGGGAGGCGGAAGCAGGAGACTCGCTTGAGCCCAGGCGTTGGAGGTTGCTGTGAGCTGCAATGCCACAGCACTCTACCCAGGGGGACAGCTTGAGGCTCTGCCTCAAAAACAAAACAAAACAAAACAAAACAAAAAAATTACCTACATTCTATATACATAGGGTTAATAAAGTCTCAGACAACTTAAGAATATTTGCACCACTCTATCATGTAAAAATACAAAGGGGGGGTAAGCTATAGATCATATGTGTTGTACACAACATTACTCTAATTCAAAATGCCAATAATTTATCTGCCCACCTAAAAGCAAACCTCAATTATTTTTAAGCCGTTATGAACTAGTTGGATTCTTATTACAAATATGAGACAAAAATAAGTCATAAGCAACATGAGTTCTACTTTTAACACCATTAGAAATTAAGATAAAATATAAAAAATCATATTCTCTTGATAGCTATATAAATAAATGATACAATCATGTGGATCCTAATTCCTAAATTAAGTTTTCTGACTAGAAAGGCACAATCACTAATTTCTAAGATAATTATACTTAAGACTCAGTATAGTGACCTAAAATGCAATCACATTCTCTTACCATCTGTGCCACTAGAAAAAGTAGTCTGTTGGACCAAAGATGGTGGGGTAAGCTTGACAGAAGCTTTGTTTCGCTTCTGGGACCTGGGCTCTGGAATTTCATGTCCACCATCTTCAGCATTAATAAAAATCTCAGACGAAAACATGGTCTTCTCTGGGCCTTCTGTTGTTATCTGAGTGACTGCATCAGATGATAATTTTTCAGGGAAGGCAGAAAATGAGGTCTTAATCTTCTTTGATTTCTCTGATGATCTGAACAAAAAAGAACAAACACAACAAGTCATATCCTTGACTTATCAAAACCTGAAATTTCTTTCCAAAACTGGTTTCAAGGAGTAATTAAGTAGCTGTAGGAATATTTTATAGACATATCAATCTCAAATGTTGTCACGGTATTTGAACCCTTCATTTATTATAATGTGATCATGTATGTGTTTTTTAATTTTAAGATCTACTTTTGATTTTAATTTAGAATGCTACTTAGCTGAGAAACAGTAATTTTCAGTTGAACTGAAAATATATTCCCTTTTTTTGAAATTCTTGGATCTCCACCATAAATTAGGGAACTCTGCTAAATGCATAAATTGTACAGAGTCTTCTCTCAATGAGTTTATATATCAATGGGGGAACCAGAAGTTTTCCAGGTTGTAGTTACACATCAAAATTATAGAGGATTCATATTAAAGAGACTGGAACAAATAAATGATTGAATATATAAGTAACTGGGAGAAGAGACAAATTTTGCTTATGAAGAATTCCAAATAACAGATGTAGACACATCCCACCAAAAGAGGTAAAACTTTATCTTCCCCTCTCCCTTTGAGTATGGGCTAGACTGAGTGACTATATTTTAAAAAACAGAGTATAAAAAGAAAGGAACAGCAACTTCACAGTGGAGACACCTGACTGACCAACACTGCCTTATACAACATTGTCAGTAATGACTTATGGGTATCTCATATTCTCTGCTATATGAGAGAAGCATTTCATCTCTATGGTATTTGTTTCCAAAACACAAAACTCCAGTTGAATCCAAACCGAGGGACTTTCTACAACATACCTTATCAGTACTCATTAAAACCACCAAATTTATGAAAAACAAGGAAGGAATGAAAAACTATCACAAACCACAAGAGGCTAAGAAGACATGACAACTATCTCAGTCTATCTGAGATGCTATAATGAAATACCATAGATTGAGTGGCTAATAAATAACAAAGTTTATCTCTCACAGTTCTGGAATCTGGGAAGTCTAAGACCAAGGCAATGGCAGATTTAGTGTCTGGTGAGGACAGATGATGCCTTCTTACTGTGGTCCTCACGTAACAGAAGGGACTAGCTGCTCTCTGGTATCTCTTTTACAAGGCCACTAATCTTAGAGCCCTCGTGACCTATCATCACCTTCCAAAGGCACTACCTTCAAATACTATTACATTGAAAATTAAATTCAACATATGAATTTTGGAGGGACACAATTACTCAAACCATAGCACTCAGCTCCTGACCCCTCAAAATTCATGTCCTTTTCACATACAAAATACATTCATCCCATCGAAATAGCCCAGCATCAACTTTAAAGTTGAAGTCCAAAGTCTCATCTAAATATCTAAATCAGATAAGGGTACAGTCAAGGTATGATTCAACCTGAGGCAAATTTCTCTCCAGCAGTGAGCCTATGACATTAAACAAGTCCTTCCAAAAATACAATGGAGGGACAGACAGACAACAGACATTTCCATTCTAAAAGAGAGAAATAGGAAGGAAGAAAGGGATAATGGGTCTTGAGAAGTCTAAAATCTTAAAAGTCAAGAATAATCTTCCCTGACTCAGGCTCTGTTATCTAGGCCCACTAAGGTGGGGGTTCTATCTTCTGGACACGCTGGGGTGGTGGCCACCATGTCTTTGGGTAGCCCTGCTCCTACTGAAGATCTCTGTGCTTGAGTCATACACCTGTAGTTATCCTGGGCTGACTAACACCCAGGTGGCTCTAATGGTCTGGTGTCTTAGGGTAGCTCTGTTCCTACGGTTCTGCTAGCCATTGCTCTTGAAGGATGATTCTTTTGCATGGCCTTGCCTGGGCTCTGCAGCTGTCTGGGGCATCTAGGCCCGCTCATAGTTTTGCTGGGTGCAGCATACATAACACGGGGGGGTTGCTGTGAGCTGTAATGCCACAGCACTCTACCCAGGGCAACAGAGTGAGACTGTCTCAAAAAAAAAAGGGGGGGGACGGGGGGGGGGGGGGCACCAGAGCTACACATAGGGTAGCCAAGGAGTGTGGTGACAGAGTGCAAGGAGCACAGCATAGAAGCAGCATTAGGCAGAGGTGCCCCATCTCCCCATCTTGGAAATCATTCTGTCCCCCAGGTCCTTGCATTCTGGTCCTATGATAGACATGACAGCCCCATGAACTCCAAGCCTGGCTGATCCATACTAATCTCCTCATAGATGGTCACTTAGCCACATAATTGTTCTCTCCTAAACATATGTTCTCATTTTTTAAGACATGGACAGGCTGAGAATTTTCCAAGCCTTTACATTCCACTTCCTTTTTTGAATGAAATTCCATCTTCAAACAATTTCTCTCTTCCCATATTTTACTATCAGCATTTAAGAGACGCCAAGTCAAACCTTCAATACTTTGCTTGGAAATTTATTCAGTCAAATAAACTATTTCATCACTTTCAAGTTCTACCTTCTACAGAATACAAAGACATGAACACAATTCAGCCAAGTTAGTTAACACTTTATTACAAGGAATGCCTTTCCTCCACTTCCAATAACATGTTCTTCCTTTCTGAGTCCTCACCAAATTGGCCTTTCCCATCCATACTTCTACCAACATTATATTTATAATCACTCGTGTAATCTCTAGGAAGATTCTCTATTGTTTTCCTCTTCTCCTGAGCCCTCACCGGACTCATCTTTAACAGTTTGTTCATAGCAATATAGGCTTTTTCTAGCATGCACCTCAAAATTCTTCTAGCCTCTAACCATTTCCAAGTTCTAAAGACACTTTGACTTTTTTAGTTATTTGTTATAACACCACACCCGCTACTTGGTACCAATTTTTGTATTAGTCCTAAGGGCTGCTATAACAAAATGCCATAGACTTGGTGGCTGATAAACCACAGAAATTTACTTCTCATAGTTGCCCAGGTGTCTTTTTCCTTTTTAGCTTCACATTGGAAGAATACTAGCTGTCTTGGGCCACACATTAAATATACAAACACTAATGAAAGTTGATGAGCAAAAGAAAAGGTCCATGCATACTTTTTGTAATGTCTGACACCACAGATCAACAAAACAGTCCTCAAAAAATCTACATTCAGCCTACATGCTAGACATCCCTAGTAGAGATTTAAGATTTAAGATTCAGTTTAAGATTAAGACTCTGGTAGATCTGGGGTCTGTTGAAACCCTACCTTCTAGCCTGTAAATAGCACCTTCTTGAAATGTCCTCAACGTGGAAGGGACAAGCACTCTCTGGGTCTAATCATAAGGGTCCTAGTCTCATTCAAGAGGGCTATGCACTTATGACCTAACCACCTCCCAATGGCTGCATCTCCAAATACCATCACATTAGAGATTAGGTTCAACATACATTCAACTAAATGTAATTTAGTTAATTCTTCTACCAAAAGATGTATGGTCTCAAGACTGCAAACCCCTGTTGATCTTTTCTCCCTCTATCCTGTGCCACTGACCCTAACACAAAGTAGTCACAGAAGTACACAGAAGAGAAGGGTAAAAATAAAGCCCCTGCTTTCTGTCCTAAGGACCAGGAAAGGGGCACTCTAGGGAAAAATCTTAGAGAGAAACTCAATTTCTTAACCTTGTTTATACCCTAAGATCTGCTCTGGAAGTGACCCAGAAGCATTCTGACATTTTGAGAACTGTACTACAGGACAGATCATCATCCAAGTCTCAGACTGGCCACTGGGTATATACACATAGAACAGATCTAAATAACACAGAAAAGCTTTGAAAACTAGGCCGACATGAGAACCAAGTTCCACAGAAGTCTGGCTGGAATTTTGAACCTGAACCCACTGGGTCAATTATTGCTAAAACAAAAAGATTTGTCATTTGTTTTGACAAGAACTTTTAAAAGACTTGTCATTTCATATATATGTGTATATATTGCTATGCAATACACGTATAATCCACAATTATTCAGAATATGAAGAACCAGAAAAATCTAAAATCACAATAGAAAAGACAACCAAAAGACACTAATGCTAGAATGAATTCTCTAACAAAAACCCTATAAATTCACTCTAATGCTCCCTTGAAACAAATGGAAAGGCATAATTTCAGCAAAGAAATATGTAAATGTAAAGAAGTAACTTGAAATTTTGTAACTAAAAAATAATATAACTGAAATAAAATCCTCACCACAGGAGTTCAACAGAAGAATGGAAATGACAGAGCAAAGGCTTCATTAACTCTAAGACAGATTAATAGGAATATTTCAATCTGCAACAGAGGAAAAAATCAACAGTCCTCAGAAACAAGGAAAGGAGTGAGGATGTGGTGCAGAAAAGATATTTGAAGAAATAACTTCAAATACAATGCAAACTCACCACACGCAATGAAAAATATACAGGTACATCCCCTTTTATTGTGCCTAGCTTTACTAAGTTTCACAAATAACTTCTTTTTACAAATTATAAAGATTTGTGGCAACTCTGCAGATAAATCTATTTATTAGCACCAGTTTTTCCAAAAAAAATAAGCTTATGCTTATTTCACACTTGTGTCACATTTTGGTAATTCTTACAATGTTTCAAACTTTCTCATCATCATTATATCTGTTAAGGTGATCTGTAATCAGTTATCTTGATGTTACTATTGTAACTGCTTCCAGACATCATGCACTGCACCCTTATAAGACAATGAAATTAAGTAAATGTGTGTGTTCTGACCAGCTGTACCCCTTCTATCTTCCTCTCTTCAGGCCCCTCTATTTATTCCCTGAAACACAGCAATACTAATATTAAACAAATTAATAACCCCACAATGGTCTCTAAATGTTCCAGTGAACAGAACATCTCACTTAAAATAAAAATCAAATTTTAGAAGAAATTTGTAGGAAAAACTCTTATAGACATTTGCAAAGAATGACCCGCACCCCAAAAGCAATCACAACAACAAAAACAAATAAATGGAATTGATTAAATTTAAAAGCTTCTGCACAGCAAACAGTAAGCAGACAACCGATAGCATGGAAGAAAATATTCTCCAATTATACATCTGATAAAGGACCAATATCCAAAATCCATAAGGAACTCAAATCAGTAAGAAAAGAACAACCCTATTTAAAAAGTGGGCAAAATATATGAACAGAAGCTTTTCAAAAGATAGAAAAATGACCAAAAAACATGAAGAAATGTTCAACATTAACAATCATCAGGGAAATGCATGTTAAAATCACAATGAGATATCACCTTACCTCTGTCAAAATAACTATTAAAAAGTCAAAAACCAGTAGATGATGGCTATCCATGGATGCAGAGAGAAAGAACACTACACACTGCTGATAGAACTGTAAAGTAGTATGACCTCTGTGTCAAACAGAAATAAATACAGACTTACCATTCAACCATACATACCCACTACTGGGTATGTATCCAAAGGAAAAGAAGTCATTTTATCAAAAAGACACCTACACTCAAATGTTTATTGTACGTAATTCACAACTGCAAAGATGCAGAATTGACCTAAATGCGCATCAATTCAGGAGATTAACCAAATGTGGTGTATGTATACACCATAGAGGACTACTCAGCCATAAATATAAATAGATTAATGTCTTTTGCAGCAATTTAGACAGAACTAGAGACCATTATCCTAAGTGAAGTATCTCAAAAGTAGAAAAGCAAACACCACATGTACTCTCCAACAATTTAAAATTAATTGATGGGCATATGTGGGCACAGAGAGAAGTAAAAGTCACTGCAAGGTAAACAGAGGGGAAAAAGGAAGGTATAAAAACCTACCCAAAACACACAAAGAACATTACTTAGACAATAGGCACACTAATAGCCCCGAC